ATTTGGCATTCCATCACTTGCTCACCAATGGATGGTCTGCAGTGAATGGGTGCCGTCAGAATGAGAGTCCAAACAGCTGATAAAAACATCACAATAATCCACAAGCAATCCACACCACTCCAATCCATCAGTTAACATCTTGTGAAGCGTTTTTTTTTTATTTCAGGTTTTCATTCTCTGCATTATAATGTTGTGGTTCCTAACTTCTCTTGTAGTATTTAAAATGATTATGAAAATGAATGTTATCGGCCATAAAATGAAACTAATTATTGCCTCATCATTAACATCAGTGCATCCCTATAATACATTGAATCAAAATATTATTACAGAGCCTCTGCGATTACAGATTCATCCTATAAGTAGAAATTTAATATGTATCAACAGTAAGTAAACGTCATTTATATACATTTATTTACTGGAATTATTCTGTTTCTAGATGCACTGCCAGGTATAGTAACACACCCTAATATAAGCTGACATAAGTGGAGCAAATCAACCAAAATGACTGCTGTTTAGCTTTCCCATAATGGTGTGAGATATTACATGAAGATTACGTTCTCTGTAAAGAAAGAACCCATTTCTAAAAGCCTGCTCTTATACCGGTGTAGCCTATCCAGACTCAGGAACCTGGTGGGCTTCTTTGTTTACAGTGAGGTTAACCACTAACATGTTGGCAGCGCTATACTCTTTAAATTTGCACTTTGCTCTGAAGGGAAGAAATCTAGTCACAAAGAAGACATTTGGGTCACTAATCTGCTTTGGGAAACACAGCCCATCTTGGATAAGAATGAATGTTTTACCTGCGCCAGCAATTCATAGATATATATTTTTTAATTCACTATATGTGATGATGGACAAAGCCTTGAAAATGCTCAGCTTGTCTGTGGAGCTGAGCATTTTGTTGATTTATTCTTATATTCCATAAGGCTGTGGCTTCTGTTGGCACGCTGTGCTAAGCACTAAGATACTAAATGCCAAGTAAAAATCATGTCAACTACAAAAAGATATCTGTCTTTGAAGCTATTAAACAGAAGTTGGCGTGAAGAACAGTGAAGAGCAGTTGCCTGACCTCCCAGGAGTAGTTATAATGAAAAATATGTTAAATGTACCTTTCTGTGGGCAAACTACAATAATCCACAAGAGTGCCTGAAAGCCCCTTATGTTATGTGTGGTAAAATCACAGTAACACACTGCCTGTGTGGCTTATTTGCTTTTATAAAATGGCAACGACAGCTATAGAATAAATTACACCAGTGTTCAGTAAATACTTATATTTATTACTAATACCTTGGCACAGTAATGTAGAATTAAGCTGATGTGCAGTCACAGGTGTACATTTATTGTCTATTTTACACTGGCTTCAAATGGTGCTTATCCTGTAAAATATGTTATAAAAATATTGTGAGGATGAAAGGATAGTTAGGGATAGTTCACATAAAAAAGAAAATTCCGTCATCATTTACTCACTCTCATGTCGTTCCAAAACTGTGTGATTTTCTTTATTTACTCCTAAAAAAATAAAGGTTCCAAAAGGAGGGTTTCACAGTGATGCCGTAGAAGAACCATTTTAGGTTCCGCAAAGAACCTTTTAGCGAACAGTTCTTAAAACAACATTTTTTTCTTAGCGTGAAGAGCATTTTAATAATCTACTGGAACTGAGGCCCTGTTTACGCTAGTGTGTTCTCGTTTTAAAATGAAAACGATCCTCGTCTACACTTGTGTTTTCAGAACCGATCTCCGTCCGCACTACACAACCGAAAACGCATGTCACATGACCTTTCATGCAGGTACAACAATGAGCATGATGTTATTATTTACACAGTCATCAAGGATACGCAGAGCGAATGTTGGCTGCCACGCCATTGTTTTCAAAAGACTCCGTTTTGGTCCGTTTACACTGAAACTCAACTCCAGAGTTTTCGAACTAAAACGGGGTCTGCAGCGTTTTCGAAAGTCTCCGTTTTCGAGGGTCGAAAGCACCGGAGTAGTGTAAATGACAGGCGTAACCGTAGCAAAAGTTATGCGTTTTAAAACGAAAACGCACTAGTGTAAACGTAGCCTGAAAGGTTCTATTGATGTTAAAGGATGGAACCTTAGATGGCAATAAAGAACAGTTATTTTTAAAAGTGTTCTGTAATCCGTAGAACTTAAAAGAAGATATTTTGAAGAATGTTTCAACAGTTCTCCATATTATGGAAGTCAGTGGAGTCTAAACCTTCTGGCCAAGACCTGACAATCTGACCAACTCTGTATCTTTCAAAGAATAAATGCCACAGAGCTGGGAAACCTTAGCAAGACCAACGATTAAGTGCTCATAATATCAACCCTGTAACTAATGATGCACTGAGATGACTTTTGCACAGAAACTGAAATGAATGTTTTCATTTAGCCAAAATCCAAAACTGAAAATAAAGGTATCAGTAATTAAACTCTTTATGCTGTTCTCAGGTGATAAACTAAACCGTTCTTAGTCAAGTTCTTCAACATTGTGTCTCTTCTCGATATTTTAGCGCAACAAATTTTGCAAATTGCTAGCATCATTTTTGGTCATGATGAAGTGCTGATATGTTTACTTGTATATTTTTTGCTTGTTTATTTTGTGTACATATTTTTGTCATTTATATATGTGTGTGTGTGTGTGTGTGTTTTGCGGTTTCATTTTCATTTTCATCTCCTTTTTGAACTGTTGCCATCTGGTCGGCGTTACAGAGCACCGAATACCAGGACAGCCAGGCACAAGAACAGTTTCTTTCCCCAGGCAATCTACCTCATGAACAGTTAATGTTCTCCCATTGTGCAATTAAAGTACAGTATGTGCAATAACCTTATAATTATTTATCACCCTAAACCCTAGTACATCCCTACAACTTATTTTATGCTATTCTATTCCTATTCCATCTATACCACACCTGTACATACAATTTATTCTTTTTTTGTGGTTTATATTTATGCATGTGTATTTTATTCACATCTCATTTTTATTATCTGTGTGTTGTTGTTGTCTCCGTGTACTGGAAGCTTGTGACACTATAACAAATTCCTTGTATGTGCAAACATACTTGGCAATAAAGCTCTTTCTGAAGTTCTGAAGTTTTCTGTTGCCAAAATGTTGGTGTATCACTATTTTAAATATGATTTTGCGATTAAACACCTGTGAACCAACTCCTGAAACATACATCTACCTTAAATTTATGAGACTATTTACTCAAGATATATATTTCACAGTTTCTTGTATTTCCTGGGATTTGAACCCATGACTTTGCTATTGTTAGCGCCATGCTCTACTGTTTGAGCTTCAGTAATGTGAAAAGTTGCAGAGCGCAATCTGATTGGATTGGATTTTAACAAGTGTTTTCCAGTGTCGTGTGCAATATCAGACAGTCAGAGAACAATCTGTGGGTGTCCAAGAGCGTGAGGCGGAGACCACCCTTGTCATTGGTACATGGTGGCCACACATCAAATGTTTTGAGCAACGTGGAGTTAAATGGTCAAAGTCTGTTCATAATTTTCTGAGAAGGTTATGGTGTTTATGAAAAGTTTTCTGAGGTCTTTCCACAGTCTCATAAATCCATTAGATCCTGTTTGGGTTTGTTTCTTGGCCAATCACAGAAAAATGAGTAATTCTGTTTTCTCTCCGAATGTAGTTAACTCTGTAGAGTTCAGTTTGTTCTTAGGGCTTCCTGAGGTTCCTCCATTGAATAGAATGTCTTAGCGGTAAAGCAGGGCTGATTCAGCCGGTGCCTGTGGTTTGAGTAATTTTCAGTCAATCTGCTCTGTAAAAAAAATAAAAAATTCCCCTGTAATTCATTGGATATAAATAAACATGTCGCATTCATCTGGATTACAGTAGAGTAGACACATATTTTAAAGCTTGGCCCAACAAGACTATGCCTGCATCTCTCAATGTAGGTCATTTTCCTGATCTGGAGAAATCTGAAGTAAAAAAAAAAAAAGTGGTTTACGTCTATCGACAGCTGCATTTTGTGGTTTTGAAGTTTTTAAACAACATCCAAATTTGCTCAACAAGTCATGTCTCTGTATTTTATTGATTAATTTAAATCATATGTTATTGGAAAACCAAGCAAGCATGTCACTTTCCTTGTATGATGCGGGTTACATTTTGCATTTTCATATTTAGCGGACACTTTTATACAGAACACCTTGTACAGTGTTGTCTGGGAATCAAATTCATTAATTAGCGTTGGTAGTGCCGTGATCTACAACAGGGTTTCGCAAATGAGTTGATGAAAAGCTAATCATTAAACTGAATATAAAATGAAAATAAATACATTTGGCTGCACCAATAATTGAAATGAAACTATAATCGTGATGTAGCTTAGTGTGATGATCAAATCAAAGGCTGTGATTTCATTAAATAAGTATATAGTCCGTATTCTGCCAAAATAAAAGCTTGAATATTTGAAAGTTACAAATTTAAGAATATAACTTTTATATTTTAACTGTAATGAAAATAAAAACAATCAAAATGCTAAAAAAAAAAAAAAAAGATTACTTGCATGTCATGTGACCATTAGCGAACCATGAACATGCAAATGTGACATTACATTATTGAAATATTAACATCCCAGGGGGTACTTCACTAAATATTTTATGTCTAAGTGGTTAAGCTGACAACAAGTCTGGAAAGCCTGATGTTCAAGAAGAACTATAGGAACCCCTAGATGGGGTTCAAATTGAACCCACAGCTTTACATACCACACCATGCACATTAAAAAGATAAATTTTGTATTATGCATCACAAAGTTTATTACCATCCTGCATAAAGCTTTAAAAAGTAGTAATGCATTGATTATTCTACAGAGGCGACTTGCTCCAAATGGACAGGTAAATGACCCGCGTCCTGCCTAAATTGCAGACATTTTTCCAGCCAAGGCCATATGGAAGAATGTGTTGATATGAATTGCCGATTTTGTTAATACGCCAGCATAAGTGATTCCTGATGTTACGTTTTTTCTTAAATGTCCCATTCTTCTCCGCAGCTGCCACGGAGGGGCGAGTCAACGGAGGTGAGGACTTCTTTCAAAAGGTAAGGAAAACCACATTGCTTTGGCAGTCAAAAATAGGTTAGCATCATGTTGCATGTGTAATTATTTCTGCAATTAGGGCCGCACGATACAGCAGTGCAATAGCTTTGCGGTTCTCAAGCCTCAAAATACTACCATTGCGGTAATAGAATAAATATGGGACTTCCATAACTAGCGTTGTATGCTCAGCGTGTAGCTCAAAATTATGGATTCAGTAACATAAAGAGGCTCACTCCATTTTCTCATTTGTGTAATTGCAAATATTGTGCCTGTTACAGTTTAGCATACCAATCTCAAGAGGAAATAACAGCACTTTCTATGTCAAATAGAAAAGCATATTTAGAAAGCTGTCAGTTATAAAAACACAGGGTCTTAATTCAGATTTTTTTTTATGAAAATGGCTTGTGATGAACAATGTTTTATAGTATATAATATATGAGACACGTGTTGTATTGTGAATAGTCACTCTGCTGTGCGTTGTGGCTACCAAAATTCTTTAAAGGGATAGTTCATCCAAAAATGAGAATTCTGTCATTCCAAACTGTATGACTTTCTCTCTGTTCTTCAGAACACAAAAGGAGATAATTTAATGAATGTTATATTTTCATATGCTTAAAGGAATAGTTTCATATGCTTAAAGGAATTTTGACTCAGACTATGATTACTACCATTTTAATGTGTTTGTTTGTTTGTTTTCATCGGAACAGATTTGTAGAAATTTAGCATTGCATAACTTGCTCACCAATGGATACTCTGCAGTGAATGGGTGCCGTCAAAATGAGAGTCCATAATAATGCTTCCTCCAGTGAAAAATTCCTCTCACATCAAAATCCACCAACATATTTGTTTAGAACTGTTTTGCAATGTTAAACAGCAATGTAAATAGTGCTTGATCTGTGCATATTTCTCTCCTAAATCAGACAAGACAACTTTTTGACTGGAGAAAGCATACTCAGACTAGATGACTCATATTATAGCTGGTTTTTAACCAATAAGATGGTTAAAAATGTCATAATAATGGATTGTTTATTACAAGCATGCAGCTTGTGGATTACTTAAATTACTTGTGGATTATTGTGATGTTTTTATCTGCCGACTCTTATTCTGACGGCACCCATTCACTGCAGAGGAACCATTGGTGAGCAAGTTATGTAAAGCAAAATTTCTCAAAATCTGTTCTGTTGAAGAAACAAACCCATATAAATCTTGGATGGCCAAACATTATCAGAAATTAGTAAAATATTAGAATGATTTCTGATGGCTCTTGTGACACTGAAGTAGTGATGGCTGCTGAAAATTCAGTTTTGCCATCCAAGGAATAAATTCCATTTTAAAATATATTAAAATAGAAAACGGTTACTTTAAATTCTAATCATATGCCACGCTTACTGTTTTTACTGTATATTTGGTCAAATAAATGCAGCCTTGGTGAGCATAGGAGACTTATTTCAAAAACATTTACATTTTTAGTGCCCCTAAACTTTTGAACGGTAGTGTACCTTGATGCTTAATTATTACCATATTAAATATAAAAATTTAAATAAAAAAAAAACAACAACTAACAATTAATCCAAAATAACATGAGTGAGATATGTAATATTTTACTTAATTTATTTGGCGTTGCTAAACTCCCCCTGTTAAAAATTTGCATTGTAAAATGGCAAAATAACTACATTCAAATTGATCTCTGCAAAAGTGTACAGGAAGTCCATGCAAAAGTGAGAAGTGTGTGATAAATCGCATTTGCTTCGAGAGCCTAGTCAGTGACTCGTGACAAAACACCTCTACCTGAAGGATACTCAAAACAGGTCTCCTGTGCGTTTATGGCCTCGCCAAAACAAGCACACTTGGCGTATTTGGACTCAGTGGGGTAGAACAGTATTTGGGGCAAACACTTGCCAGACTGATTGACAGGCTGTGAATAAATACAGACTGGAGAAGCCAGACAGCTCAGGGCAGGAATTCAGCACCTGAATCAGAGCATGCTGGCCTTCAAAATAAATACACTCGCAGGCAAGTCGATATTGGTATGAAATACAGTCCATGTCAATGTTCCACTTGTTTTAACCTGTAAGGTGTGGGAAAATAATCAGACGCAGTTAAGAGAGCTTGGAAAGTGCCTGTTCTGGAAGATACGGCTGGCTGCACCGTAAGCCTCGGGCTGCCACAAATTTGGGTAGTCGCAGCTGATGCAAAGCTTCAGGAACGCCAGTTCCTGCTTTTAAAATAAACACAACCTATCATATCACATACAGTGTGTTAACAATTGCCATTTCTCAAACAACACCCTAAATGTGGATTTGCAGTTTCATGGACTTTAATCGCGTGCGTCCATGAAGTCCACGCCTCCATAGACTAAAAAATAAAAGGTATAGGATTTAATTTGATACTTTTTTCACTCAGAAATTGCTAGTACATTTCACAAACAATTACAAAGGAATGCCATGTAACATATGACATTAAAGGAATAGTTCACCCAGAAAAAAAAAATGCTGAAAATGTACTAACCTTCAGGCCATCCAAGATGTAGATGAGTTTTTCTTCATCAGAACAAATTTCGAGAAATGACATAATTTGCTCACCGATGGATCCTCTGCAGTGAATGGGTGCCGTCAGAATGAGAGTCCAAACAGCTGATAAAAACATCACAATAATCCACACGCAATCCACAAGTAATCGATATGACTTAATTGTTTAGAACTACTGTTTTCGCTTGTAAACAGTGCTTGATCTGTGCATATTTCTCTCCTGATTCAGACAGGACTTTTTTTTTTTTTTTCACTGGAGAAAGCAATATTATGAATAGAGTGCTTATATTTTAGCCGAAAGCAATGATTTGAAGTTAAAAATGTCTTGATGGATTTGTTTACTACAAACACACAGCTTTTCGCTTCGTGAGTCAAGTGGAATACTTGTGGATTATTGTGATGTTTTTATCAGCTGTTTGGACTCGCATTCTGACGGCACCCATTCACTGCAGAGAATCCATTGTTGAGCAATTGATGTAATGCTAAATTTCAGCAAACTCATCTAAATCTTGGATGGCCTGAGGGTGAGTACATTTTCAGCAAATTTTTATTTTTTGGTGAACTGTTGCTTTAAATGTGAAATATTGTAAAACTCTAATAATCTTTATTTTATATACAGCCTACAATGTAGGCCATCCAGTTTTTCATTTTAGCTTTCAGAAGGTTCATGGGTGACTCTTTTGCAGCTACTTGTACTCTAGACGATTACGCGACAGCTTTACAGTAGACTTTGGGATGGGCCCTATATTTCATCTGAATTAGGGAACGTTAAAAATTAAGGATATGATAGTTCTTTTGTGAAATAACACAGTGTATCTCCTAAGGAACCTTGTAAATGTGATCAAAAGATAAGAGTGGTCTTTTTCTGCTCACGTCAACATACTTGTGCTGAAAACAAATACTTTATCTAAACACACCATGTAAAAATGTGAAATTTAGCCAGAGACACAAATGAATTCATGGAAAATGACCTCAGAAATTGTCTCACAAATGTTAAAAAACATCAACAATCCTTTTAAAAGGAGTGTTTCTTAAAAAAATAGTATAAAAAAGGACTGTAGGAGTCTTTTAACTGGGAGGAAAATATTTCTGCCGACTCCTCGTCCCACGCCCCAAGAACATGTCTTTGGTAGAATGATACCAGCCAGCCCGCTAAACTTTTGAGTGTTTTCAAAAACAACATTGCGTTCCTGTCCATCATGGCGGCTGCGTTTTCGTGTGTGAGCCATCAGGTATTCCGTGATCCTGCACAATGATGGGATTCAGCCCTTTTTGCTTAGACGTTTCCCTCATGCTGAGCGCTCCGATCAGGTAACGACGAAACCTCAGGAAACCTCGCCTCATCTCTCTGAAAGAATGCAGCGATATTAAGAGGTTTTTTTTAACAGAATATTGACTTAGCTCCTCATACTGCTATTTAAATAGTCGTTTTGTAGACTGTTTTCTAATTGCCAACAAAATAATGCATTTTGCATTTATTGCATTGTTTTTTGTTTGAGTACTGAATGAAAGAGCGCTTCATTGATTGAATTTAATGATGTTTTATTAACAAGGTTCGGGAGGAGCGTGTCAGATACTTAGCCTAATTACCTTAGGCTAAGTATGGATCACAACGCACCGGGGGTAATTCGGATAGACTTACTTCTATCTATTGACGGTTATCAGCATCCCTCCTCCGCCCCATCTCCTCACTTTTGAGTTCATACTACACTTATACGGGGGGTACTGTAGGTCCACGCCATTCCCGAGCTCGGAGCCCTTCCCCAGACAGCACGCCAAATATGCATTACCATACTTCAGCTAATTATATGTAAGCGTGAACTCGTGAATTAGAGGTGTTTGGCAATGCAAGCATCACTCTTAGGCCTATTGCTCATACTTTTGGATTCGTGGGGGGTGAATAACAAGCTATAATATTACCTTAAATTTAGTTTTGGTGGTGTAACCTAATTTAGGTAGGTTGATCCTGAGATTTTGAATAATATATTTTACTTAATTAAAAATGTGTTAATTTAAATGTTACCACATAGAACACACACATTCATATTTGTATTTATACACTTTTTTTTTTCAGTGTAACTTGTCCTGCACAGTTATAAATGGAAAAGAGTAATAAATTAAATTGAGCTTTAAATTGAGCAAATTGAGTTAAGGATAGGAGTGCCTTTACTTACTTTACTTAATTGGATTTTCTATTTAATTTGCCTATAACTTTTAACAGCTTTTGAAAACACTAGGGCTGCACAATTAAAAAAAAAAAAAAAAAGAATTTTCAAGTTTCAAATAATATTTTTATAATAATGTAATATTTTTATTTAGTATGTTTTATATTTTATTTAATAATAATAATAGTAATAATAATAATAATAATTATTATTATTATTAATAAATAAAAATATAAAAAATACATATTGATATAGAATCCCAAAATCCCAAATTGTGCAGCCCTACAAACAAGCACATTATCACATTTT